TTGTGTATTGATGTGTCATACTGATATTTTGAACTTGGAAGATTTTCTGTTGTGCCCTCTAAACAATTTCTATTTTTAGGTAACATCGCCGGGACGATATTTATATCGTCTAGGACGATCTGAAAAAGATAAACCCTAAATTAGGGACCTTCATTATAAGCAGCCGTCTTTATGCAAAACACATCGGGTCCTGACGACTTTTGTATCGACCAGGACGAATCGGTCTCAATTCAGCAAGAAAATCTGCCGCCATAAATCTACTTAGAAAATCTTATGTTTTCGATATCGGCCTGGACTAATAAAATATCATCCTGAGCCGACCGAGAACATTTCCAAACATTTCTCAGGCAGTTTTTGCGGAAGCAATTAATGGGGATTTCGTCCAAGGTGATCCAAGATCGTCCAGGCGATCGCAAGATCGTCCAGGATGATTTAGACATCAGTCCAGCCTCATTCCAATCAGGGGCAATATTCAGGAACAGATTTTCCATCATATATTGAACTAAATCGCCAGGAACGACTATGCCTATCGTACCCTGGACGATAATGGCGCAACTTGCCATTAATAGAGCGTTTTGAGAGCTTCATTTTAAGCTAATGACCATGACAACTTGTGTAGCGTTCTTTGGCAGCCATTGTAGCTTGTTCTTGTGGGGAAACTTGAAGAGAGAGCTACTGAAGGAGAGAGAAAAGGGTGGAGTTTGAGAGGGCAGAAGATCCTGTGAGGGGGAGGAACTCAAGAGGAGTGTGGTGGAGGGATCACACGGTTTGATCCGGAGAACCGCACGCTTAGTACCATCCGGATTCAAGGCCTTGTCTCCGAGTAAGTTTCCCAAAGAAAAGATTCATTCTTGGTGTACAAAGGACCGGCCGATTCCGCTCCGCACCGGAAGGTCGGAAGTGATTTTGTAAAGGGCTTCTCCGCTTTAGCTGTGGGGCAAAGGAAGTCACAAAGTGCATTAGCTTGGAGGTGCCTCCAAGGGAGTGGACGATAGTCAAGGATTGACCGAACACCTAATTAATCCGGTATTCTTTGTCTTAAATTATCGCTCGCGCATTATTTTCTTCCGCACTTATGATCTTGCGGTGATTAATTCAGTGTTTTGTGGTTTTAAAGTTTTGCCAATTCACGCTCTCTCGTTAACTTAGCAGTTGCATATAGAAGGTAACATCCCTAACGAACTTTCAGAACTCTGACCGTTGAATTGTAAAAGTCATATATACCATACGAACATTCTCAATACAAAATAACTATAATTCGATGCAACGTGGAGCATACATGAGTGGTTGATTTGAAGAGATTTAATTAGCATCGCATTTAATACACTCATCCAACAAAATTCTAAAGACTTTTTATTTGCATGATAACATTTATTGATTACATAAGCTATTATATTAGCTGCATTTAAACTCTACACAAAATCTAAATAACTCTCAGCAGGCCTTCTGCATCTTCTCTATCGGCGTAAGGGTCATTATTGAGAGATGTTAGGACATATCACATTATAAGATGAAAAGAAATCAGCTAAAAACCTATTTATAAGCTAATTTGAAAGCCAAAGGAAATAACATCAAGAAAAATCCAGTTATAGGTGTTATTACATAAAGCTTAATCAAGACTACCAGTAATGCAAGCCCATAGTTTTAAATATTCAAGAAATTAATATATTATATATATATATATATTAATATAATATACTATAATTATATATATATATATAATATATAATATATATATATTAAATATATATATATCATAGATGCACACATAATGCGACAATAGGAAACTTGCGCAACAAAGATAAGACAATTTTGAATTTCTAATAGCAACTAAAAGAAAATAATGAAACTGTAATTAAGCGGTCACTCCGTTAGCAGCTATCGCAAGAGAACTAAACGAAACAAAACATTGAAATTAGGACATGAATTGCGAAGCGATTTTCAACATTAACCTAGCCTAAACAATGAGACACAAAGCAAAAGAAAGTAACAATTCACAATTACTAGTGGATGGCATTAGTAGACACCCAACAATCTGACTCTGTAAATCTCGCTATAGAGGAAATAGAATGTTGAAAATAAATATAAGGAAAATACCCACTCCTTCGGAAAATCGCTGGATTCACCCAACCGTAACTTCTACCCAATAGTTTTGATTCCTCTCAAAGCTGACAAATCGCGATATCACGTGATCAACGCGACTTTCTATGATCCATCTATGCATGGAATACACGTCGAAAACGACAGACAGTAAATTGAAGATCCACGAACATCTTAGCTCGTTCTGTTCAAAAAATCCGGAATCAAACTCCGGGGATCTATCAATACATCCTCGGATGAACGAAGGAGAAACAATTGAAAGAGGGAGAGAGGAGTGACGGTGGGGGATGGGACCGCGGCTTGAGAGAGGAAAAAGCTAGGTGGAGGAAAGGAACTAAGGTTTGAGTGGGAGAGAGAAATGTTTAATCCTCAAATCTGAAATTATTCTCAGATTGTGGTAAGAATGGAGGTGAAATAATTTAGATTTATGAATTTCCAAATGCGGCATCAAGTCCCTTAATTAGAAGCATTTAAAGGAGAGGGCCCACTAAGGGGCCGACGGACATGGAGAGAGGTAGTGGGGTTAGAAATGGGAAAATTATGCATTCGTACATCGCTACGATCCTAATTAATGATGTGAAATTTCAATCCGCTTCAAATCAATTTGAGATTTTAAACTGTAAAATCGGAGAGAGTTTGAGAGGGAAAAGCTTGTAATTTATTCATTACAATCTTCCCTATATAGATTCATTACAAGATATTAACCTTTATGCGGAAATAGATAAATTCGTCAGATATATACCAACATTATGAAAATAAATCTTTTCCTAAATTCTTCCCTTCATTATGGGATCCAAATGAGTACATCCCACGGATTGATCCTTTGTGGTCGTCGAGTCCTTGTTTACTGGAACGCTGATTTCAACAATCACCTCAACTG